TCCATCCACCCATCACACACCGACCCACCTGGAGGACACCTCTGACCTCTGAGCACACAGACACCCTCTGCTCACCTATCCCTGCCCACCTCACCGTGTGTCGTTCCTCCTTACATCAGTCACCTTCTAATCAGTGTCTGAGTCCTCAGCTTCTGCTGGGAAGACCAGCAAGAAAAAAGTGAGAAGGCATCCTGTGTGAGTCCATCGCCTCCTGAGCTTACTGAGTCTGTCCCTGATGCCAGAGAACAGCCACGAGGACACCACTTTAATAACCACTTGTAGGACAAGGAAAGGTCCCTCAGCTCCTGGTTAAGGAAAGAGAGTAGTTTGACTTTCTCAGTTCGCATCAGACCCTGGGGAGAAGCCTGCATAGAGGCTGGATAGACAGCTTGTTGGAGGCACCTGAGCGGTGTGGAGGTATCAGTGGGATACTAAACCTGTGCATAGCCCCACCTGAGAAGCAGGATGACGTGGCCTTCCCCAGCATGAGGAAGCCAGCACCTGTTTAGACAGCACTGGGTCTGGACTCCGTCACTCTTTTGTGTTCATCCTAAATATGTAGTCACTTATCCCAGTCTTGTTTATCAGTTATAAGGTGGAGATAATAAAAGCATGATAATTATGAAGATTTTATTAATGTTTTGAGATCATTCCTGCTAAAGCACATAAATGTCCAATAAATGCCAGCCCTTATTGTCATTACCTTTGCATATTCCAACAAAAGAGAAATATAATCATTGATGTTTTTGCAGTTTAAGGCAGTTGAGTGACTTTCAGTTGATCAATTATTTTTCCACAACACAACACGAGTATGTGATACAAATGTGAGGGCCTCAACCAGTACAGTTTTATATCAGCTCAGTTTAACTTGATAACAGACACCCCCAGGCAGGATGGCTCTGTGCTGCTCTAGACTTTTCAGAAAGTAGAAATTTGTGTATCTCCCTTCTCAAGGTTCTCCCCTACACACCTTGTCCAGTTCAGTCCATATACCCAATTTTGCATATAATGTGCCTTAGAACTGGGGACACAATTCCTTCCCATGCCCCCAAAGTCATGAAAAAGGTGTTTTTAACACCCCTCTGCCCCCCATACTCTGTGCTGCACACACAGGGGCCTCATTGGGCATCAGACTCTGAAATACAACTTCTGTAGTCCAGACAGAAGGACACCTGCTGTCTCCAAGGCAAGTATCTTGTCCACATGTAGTTTTTGTCTGTCTTTTAACTCTTGGTCAGGGACAGAGAGCTCATATTGACCAGGGATTTCCTCAGTTCAAGTCTCTGTGCTACTTTATGTTAATAGAACAGAGAATTCATTCAAGGTAATTTAGTCATGTCACCAGCATTACAAATAATCATCCCAAATGCTAAAAGGTAATTTAAAGCAAGTAATAAACTGAACAAAATAACCACACAATGATTTTTCTACCAGTTGTGAAATATAACTTGATACTCCTTCTTCATTGAAAAATATTTGAAAAAAATACCCGTGAAGACATCTGTACCTGACTTTTCTTTGTAAGGAAATTTTAATGAAAATTTAATTTTCATTAAATTAATTAAATTTAATTAAAGTTTTAATTAATTAAATTTTCAATTTAAATTTTCTTTTTTTATTTAAATATTTTATTTTATATAATTCTTACATCAGTTTTCATCTTTGCACAATGTATGCATTTTCATTTTGGTTATATTCCCCATACAATTGCACCTCCGCCCTTATTTTGACTCTAGTCCTTCCTTTCCCCGCCCCTCCCTCCCCCCCCAACACCCCCCCCCCGTAGTGTCTCTGGTTTATAGTTGCTTGTTGATTTTGATTTTTACTTTGTATTGATTAGTCTTTTTCCTAGTCTCTTATTTAGGTTTTCTAAATTCCTGCTATGAGTGAGACCATCCGGTATTTTTCTTTTTCTTTCTGACTTATTTCGCTGAGCCATGATCCCTTCCAGCTCCATCCATGTTGCTGCAAACTGCATGTATTTATCTTTTTTGATTGCTGAGTAATATTCCATTGTGTATATGTACCACATCTTCTTGATCCAGTCATCTATTTTTGGGCATTTGGGTTGTTTCCATAGCTTTAGCTATTGTAAATAGTGCTGCTATAAACATAGGGTTAATTAAATTTTCAATTTAAATTTTCTAAGTGGATTAGGACTATTCAGTTTAACTGCTCTCATTTGTTTACCTTTGTTAGTTTTCATTTGATACACAATAAGCTTCCCATTATTAAAATGAACAGTTTGATCATTTTGCCAGATGCATTCATTGTGAAACTATCATGTCAATGAAGTAGAGATACCATGTGTGACCCTGCAGATGGCCATGTCCCATACTCAGACCCCTCTTCCCCTTTTTACCTCTCTTCCTCTAACCATGCAAGCCCTGACCTGCTTACTCTCACTATAGTTTGCTTGTTCTAGAAATTTCCATAAAGGGAATCACATAGTATGGGCTATCCTCTGGCAGACTTCTTTCATTAGTATGTTGCTTTAAGAGATATCACAGTTGCTATATCAATATTTCTTTATTTTATTGCTGAATAATAGTTCATGTGTATCAAACATTGGTTATCACTGGGTTATTTTCTGCTTGATACTATTAACATTAAGCTGAACATTTATAAACCAGTTTTGAATGGCCATAGACTTTCACTTCTACTGATGATTACCTAAGAGGAAGATGGCTGGATCCAATGTAGGAACGTGGTCACATTTTACGAAAAGACTAGTGTTTTCAAAGTTGTCATATCAGTTTTCATTCTCAGAAGCAGTGTATGAGAGTTTGAACTCCTTCAAAACCCTTACATCAAAACCCTTACATCAAAACCCTTACATGGATAAATTTTTTAAATTTAAATTATAGTAGAGCTAGTCAATTTTGTTATAACCATTTCTGTAAATTTAACATTCTGTAGTGATGACACTTTGGGATTTTATTTTGCATTTTCTTGATCTCTAATAATGTGTAGCACCTAATCATGTCTTATAGTTATCTGGTGAAGCATTTGTTCAAATCTTTTGGCCATTGCTTAAGCCATATCACAGGATTTCATCCCATGTGTTCTTCTAAAATTTTTTAATTTGCAATTTCATATTAAGAGTATTTTCTGTTTTAATACTGTACATTTTACATTTAGTGCAGGATTTGGCTGGAAGTTCATTTTGATGACTATGGGTATTCAATTCCTTCAATTTCATGTACTGTAAAGACAGTATTTCCTCCACTGATTGCCTTGTTCCTCTATGAAGTATCTGGTCTACACATTATGGATCTACTTGTAGGCTCTCTTCTGTTCCAATGACCTATTATTTTCAACCTTATTCTAACTTGATTGCAGTAGTTTTATGATCACTTCATACTTTAGGGGAAGATCTACACATCTTCTCTCAAAACTGTTTTGTGTAACCCTGGTTCTTTGCAGCTTCTTCAAAAACCTAGAATCAGCTTGTCAATTTCCATCAAAAGGAAAAAAAACACCAAAACCAAGAAAAATTGATAAGCCTTTTATGAGATTGCAATGCTTATCATTGACACTTTTGATTCAGAAACATTCATTTTTATATTCACCAATATTATGAAAATTTCTATTGTTCTTCAATTTGTTGTGAATTTTAAGTATACTCATATAATCACTACTTTATATCTATAGCATTACCCTTGATTTTCCATAGTATAAATCTGAATTTTGTTAGTTTGTTTTTCTGCAAAAATACTTCACCTTCTCTTTTGTAGAATATATTCCAAGTTAGTAGATTACTAAAATAGTTTTATTAAGTATAAAAATAATGTTCTTTTGTCTTCTGTTGCCTTCATCCTTTTATTGCCATTACTGCATATAAGCTAATTCTTGAGGTTTAGTTTGGTGATAATTGGGTGCATTCCGGCTCCATCACTTTTCACCTTCACCTCTATGTGAAAAGTTGATTGGGTTCACTCTTGCAGTTCTTCTAGTATGTGAACAACATGGAAGTTTACCTAATCATCACATTGTAATCACCCCACACCTACACACCTGATGCTTGATAACAGTTTAATAAAGCCTTGGCATCAGGTATGTAGGTATGGGGTGATTACAATGTGTTGATTAGGTAAACTTCCTTGTGAGGGAGTAAAAGATAGAAAATTGGGAAAAAATGAAAAAAGTGTGGAGGAAAATTAGGAGCATTACTTTACCAAAATGACATTGATATTATATGATGATATCTTATAAAAATATATCTCTGTATGTTTATGTGAATATATCATATGTGTATATATTAATTTTATAATTTTCATATTGCCATGGTCACATATATTAACTTTAAAATACACACTCCCCAATTTATACAATTGTATGAACTTACATCACCATAACGGTTGCACTCATAGAATTGTAATTGAATTTGTTGAGTTTTTTTCACCCCGCCATTTTGTGTTACTAACGTGCATACACTAAGTGTATCCTTTGAACTGTATAGCCTGATGTAATTTACATAGGCATATCTCCATTGTTACTACCACCAAATAAGATGTAGAACATTTCAAGCACTCCAGAAAATTTCAATTTTGAAAAGAACTAAAGCACTTACTGATAACAGAAAACTTATAAAAATGTATCCATGAGCGAATTTATTATATGCTTTGTAAAACCAAAGTAAGAAGAATGAAGCTGTGAATAATCAAAAGTTTATTATGAGAATGTAAGAGTTTCAAAAATTAGAAATTCAAATTCACTAGCAGAATTTTTTATGATATTCTTTCTGATCCCCTTCTTCCATTGACTATGTGGAATGAATGAAAGAAAGGCAGGGATTTCAGGGATTTCATGGAGTTGGTGGGGCTGAAGGACTTTCCATCTTCATTCCAGCCCCTTCACATCCTCCCTACTCTCCTACCCCAAGACCTGTGATGTAGCAATCAGGCATCATCTACTCCAAGAATTGTTAAGGAAATATCAGAATCATTGAGGCAGTCTGATTGATGAAAGCTGGTGTCTGTCAGCAGAGAGAGTGATTATTAACATGTTCTTTTTGACTCTTTTGACATAAGGAACTGAACCCGATTAACAAGTGTTTCCAGGGCACATTTCATGTCTCTGTTTCTCAGGCTATAGATGAAGGGATTCAGCAAGGGTGTGACTACCATATACATCACAGAAGCAGTTATGTATTCATCACTGGAGGTGGATGAGGAAGAAAACAGGTAAACTTCTGCAATGGTCCCATAGAATAAAGACACAACGAGGAGATGGGAGCCACAGGTAGAAAGGACTTTGAAGAATTTCTTAGCAGAGGGTTCTCTCAGGACAGTGGTCCAAATGCGGACATAGGAGCCAACGATACCACTAAAAGGCGTGATGACGATCAACCCTCCCTCAATGAAGATGATCATCTCATTGAGGGAGATGTCTGAGCAGCTCACCTTCAGGAGTGCAGAGAGGTCACAGAAGTAATGGGGGATGGTATTGTCAACACAGAAGGACAGTTGAGCCAAGAGCAGAGTGTGCAACAGAGAGTGGAGAAAGCTGAAGAACCAGCACCCAGCTACTAATAGGACACATAGCTCCTGCCTCATGATGGTGGTGTAGTGGAGTGGGTGACAGATGGCCACGTACCTGTCATAGGCCATCACTGTAAGAAGGAAATTGTCAAGACAAACAAACAATAAGAAAAAATACATCTGAGATACGCACCCTGCATAGGGGATGGACTTGTCATCACTGTGCATGTTCATCAACATCTTAGGGACAGTGACAGATGAGAGACACACATCATTGAAGGCCAAGTGGCTGAGGAAGAAGTACATGGGGGTGTGGAGGCGCGAGTCCAGCCTGATGAGCAAAATGATGAGCAGGTTCCCAAGCACCGTGGTCAGGTACATGCCCAGGAACAGGGCAAAGAACAGGCTCCGTTGCTCCGGACGCATGGGGAGCCCCAGGAGGAGGAACTCGGACACGCTGCTCTGGTTCTCCCCCTTCAAGTTGCTCATGTCTCTATGGGAATGAAGGAAAGTGGAGAGGTAGAAATCTAGAAGAAGCCCAAAAGCATAGCAATGTCCTCTGTACATCAGGATATTTATTGTTAAGTAGACCTCTTTTTTTGCTCACACCTTTTGAGACTTGCCACTGTCACAATACAACTCTCGTGGAATGTGAAACTCACACAATATCCTAAAGTTTTCCTTCCTCAGAATGGGAGTATATGTTTTCTTTAGTCCAGAGTTATTTATCGAATGATACCCTTGTCCCAGATCTGACACAAAGCACTGAGTTCATCATAGTGAACAAGAAATACAGAGTCCTAACATTCTAGGATTGTGGCCATTATACTGTACTAATCAAAAGTCAAAAACTGCCATAATATGGCAAAATAAGGAGAAAAGCAGTACACAGACTTCAGTACTTTCCTCTTCAAAATATAGTAACTCTCTAAATTGGAGTAAAAGGACTAAGAATTTGAGACTGGCACAGTGACATGGCAGAATCCTTTCTGATAAGAGATATTTAATATTCCCTTTACCACGTGTCCACCCAGGGTTCCCAAACCAACCTTAATAACAGTGTCAAAAATTTATCATTAACATAAATTAAGCCGACATTCAGCTTGAGGTTTTATATGCACTTTCTATTTAAATCGTCCTCATAGCACTAATTAATCAGCACTATAATACCTGTTTTCACTGTGAGGAGCAAAATAAACATTTTCAATGTGTGCAAAGTTGCATACTCATAAGGACAGTAAGTGATTGACAACAGAGATCGGGGCAGAACCCATCTGCATGAATATCAAATCCTCCTACGAGTAGTGTCTCTCTGAAAATTCAGACATGCAGAGTTACATCATTGTCAATCCATTGGTTCAAGATTTATCAGCCATCTTGACCACCGTTAATTCACAAATGGCTCTTGCATGCTTTAATTTCAAAAAATAAAAATATATCTATAGATTGTATGGTACATTAGAAGTGTTATTTTCACACCCTAAATGATATAAAACAACAGCCAAAGATATAGGTGATCACAGAGTATTCCTGGCTAAACATTTCATTGGTAGTGAGATTAGAGTTAGGATTACACACATACACACTGATGAAGAAGGTATCTAGACTTGCTCTCTCAAGTAGCAGATCAGGACAGCAAGGCCTCCTCAGGGACCATGAACTTGCTGAGGGCTCTGCTTATCTTGGTTCACAGCCAAGGAGAGGACAGCGTCTAGACCCCATGTGGAGGCCTGGCTGCCCACTCACGTGGGCTGTGTCAGCCTCACTGAGAACCAGAGGAAACAAGCAGGAACCAACTGGACCAAGTGACACTTTGATGCAGACAGGGCTTGTGAGGAAGGGACTGGGCTCCAGGCCCTGAAGGGATCAGGTGGGGTCCTCCAGGTGTGTGAGGGGCGTAAAAGGTCCCTGTTCCTAAACCTCTACTTGTATGTGAGGCGGCAGTGAAGTAGGGATCTCCATCACTCTAGCACTGGCTTGGGGAAAGATAGTAAGAATCCTATTGATCACCAATCCTGAGCCAGGCATTGTACTCAATAGTCCATGTCTACTGCCTCATTATTCCTCGAAATACCATTGCATGGGGGAGTAGTTACACCATCTTTCCCACGGAGGTATGTGATTGTCAGAGAGCAACCATCTAAGGGCGAGACGAGGACTGGGCCCAGTGGACCTGATGCGGGCACTGAGGTCCCAAATTATGCACCTGCCTGGTGGTAGAGACACCTGGGAACCTTCCTTGCAAACCAGTGAAGGACCAGTGTTGAAAGATGGAAAATGTGACCCAAGTGAGGAACTGGGAACATCAGCTTGCAGCTACCAGCTACGAGCACAGAAGCAATATCTACAAATTCAACATCTGCACGTGCGTACAAACACACACACACGCACACACACACACACACACACTGTACCGTGGAGCGCCATGCATTTAGAACTCAAATAAAATACAAGATCACACTGAATGATTCTGTAAAAATTTCAAGACCTCCCTCCCCTGCTGCTCATGGATAAAAGCAGAAACCCTGCTCCAGAACGGAGAGCACATCTTCTCTCTTTACCCTCTGCATCTTCTCTCATTACCCTGCTCTCTCGACCCTCTCTTTACCCCTTTCCTTACCTGAGATGAGTAGTCAGAGGTGAACATGTGGGAGTTACGGAGGAGGGAGGACAGATGTTTGAGTTCAGAGGGCTGATTAAGAGACTGCAGACCACTCAGCAGTGGTCCCCATGAGATTTATGGGGGACCAGTTGGTTTTTGTGTCCTGGGGCAGGAGGGGAAAAGACTAGAGTGTCATTCACTTCTCTCCACTTCTGTCTAGTCTTCCCTTTCGTTCCTTTCCCTTCCTTTCATCCTCTCTCTATCAGAAGAGAGAGTCACACACACAGACATATTTGTGAGGGAACATTCTTCCACCCCCATCACACACAGACCCAGATGGAGGCACATCAGACCTCTGAGCACAGAGACACACTCTGCTCACCTAGAATCCCCGTCTGCTCTGACCTGTGTCATTTCTTGCTACATCAGGCACCTAATCAGTGTGTGAGTCCTCAGCTCCTGCTGGGAAGACCAGCAACAAATAGTAAGAAAACATCCTCTGTGAGTCCATTGCCTCCCGAGCTTGCTGTGTCTGTCTCAGATATCAGCGTAGAGCCAGGAGGATGCCACTATATAAACCACTGAGAGGACCCAGAAGCTTCTCTTAGCTCCTGGTTAAGGAAAAACAGTGGTTTGACTGTCTCCATTCTCATCAGACCCTGGGGAGAAGCCTGCATACAGGCAGGAGAGACTGAGCTAGTGGGAGTCACCTGAGTGGCATCGAGGTGTCAGGGGACTCTGACCTGCTCACAGGCCACCTGAGAAGCAGGATGACCTGGCCAGCATGAGGAGCCAGTGCCTGTTCAGACAGCACTGGGTGCTGGACTCTGTTACTCCTTTGTTATTTATCCTAAATAAGTAGAGTCCCTTCTCTCCGTCTTGTTTATCAGCTATAAAGTGCAGATAATATACATATGATAGGAAGATTTTGTAAAGTTTTGAGATCACTCCTGCTAACACACATAAATATCCAATAAATGTTAGCCTTTATTTTCATTACCTTTGCATATTCCAACAAAAGATAAATGTAATCATTGATGTTGATGCCAGTTCAAGGCAGTTGAGAGACTCAGTCAGTTCATCATTATTTTTCAAAGCTACTTCCACAATATAACACGAGTATGTGATACAAATTGGAGTGCCTCAGCCAGTACAGCGTTACACCTGCTTGGTTTGACTGGGTAACAGACACCCCCAGGCGGGATGGCTCTGTGCTGACCCTTGTCAAGATTCTCCCCTACATACCTTGCCCAGTTCTGTCCACACCCCAAATTTTCTTATGCATATAATCTTCCATAGAATTGGACACAATTCCTTCCCATGTCCCCAAAGTCATGGTACCTCTAAGAAGCAGGATGTGTCTTTATGCACCCCGCCCCCATACTCTAGGCCAGCACAGGGCTGCACACACAAGATCTCACTGGGCATCAGGGTCTGAAATGAAACTGCGCTAGTCCAGACAGAAGGACGCCTGCTGTCTCCAAGAGAGGTATCTTGTCCACGCGTAGTTTTAGTTCTTGTCTTTTAACTCTTGGATCAGGGAATGAGAGCTCATAGAGACCAGGGATTTTCCTTATTTCAAGTCTCTGACCTACTTTATTTACATAGAACCAGGCTGATTTATTATAATTAGATTAATGACCAACTCTACAAATGATCAACGAACATATTTAACAAAGTAAAAAATAAACTAGAACAAAATAATCATAATGATTCTTCTGCCAATTGTAAAAATCGTAACTTGCTCCTATTTGTTCATTAAATGTGTTTGATAAAATCACCTGTGATGGTATGTGTACCTAAACTTTTCTTTGTAAAACTTTTCTTTTTAAGAAACTTCTCTGAAGAGGAAATGCAAATGGCCAACAGGCATATGAAAAAATGTTCAACATCACTTGTCATCAGGGAAATGCAAATCAAAACTACCATGAGATACCATCTTACACCAGTGAGAATGGCACATATTAAAAAAACTAGCAACAACAAATGTTGGCGAGGGTGTGGAGAAAAAGGAACTCTTCTGCACTGTTGGTGGGAGTGCAAACTGGTCCAACCACTATGGAGAGCTGTGTGGAGATTTCTGGACCTACTAAACATAGAGCTTCCATATGATCCAGCAATTCCACTCCTAGGTATTTACCCAAAGGACACAGAAACATTAGTTCCAAAGAGCACCTGCACCCCTATGTTTATAGCAGCACTGTTTACAATAGGTAAGCTTTGGAAACAACCCAGATGCCCCAAAATAGATGACTGGATCAAGAAGATGTGGTACATATACACCATGGAATATTACTCAGCATTCAAAAAGGATAAACACATGCAATTTGCAGCAACATGGATGGCGCTGGAAGGGATCATGCTCAGCGAAATAAGCCAAAAAGAAAAAGAAAAATACCGGATGGTCTCACTCATAGCAGGAATCTAGAAGACTTAAATAAGGGACCAGGAAAATGAATAACTATAAGAAAGTGAAAATCAAAATCAACAAAAAACTATGAACCAGAGACACTTTTTGGGGGGCGGGGGGCAGGAGGGGAGGGATTGGGGTCAGAATGGGGGGGCTGCAATTGTATGGGGAATATAAAAATAAAATTTATTATTTAAAAAATAAAAAAATAAAACTTTTTATTTTATGAAAATAAAGTTTCTTTAATAGGCATGAGAGTATTCACATTAACTTTATCTCATTATTTTTCTTTGTTTATAATTGACACACATTGTCACAGTTTGTTCAGTTTTGACATAAACATTCATTTCTGAAAGTATCATGTCAATAAAACAGAGATACAGGATCACTTCTGAAGACAGCCATGTCCCTCCTGTGATGCTTCCTCGCACACTCTCTTTTCACCTCTTTTTCTATAACCAGGCAACCCCTGACCTG